CAGGTGAGGTGGGAACCAGCCATGGGTCGTGTGAATTTTACAGCAAGTCTCTGGGTTGTTGTATTTGCCCATGCTGCAGGTGGTGGTGCTGCTGCTCCCACTGAAACAGCACTGGGATGGTTCCAGCGCTGGGGACCAGGCTGGAGTGAGAGCTGAACAAAGACTGGGAGAAATTCAGATTAAATATCCCTAAACACACACTGAGCACCTGTTGGCTGCATCAGCACCTGCATTGCTGCTGAAGATGTCCATCATTACTCCATCAGCACTCCCGAGGCTCTGCCAGTTCAGGTATCAGCCAAAACCACTGAACACTGAGCACCTTTAATAGTTTGCTGCTTTTAATGCATTCAGTCAGGCCAATTACATAAAATTACATGTCTGCCCTCTCCATTTTACCAGTTCTTTTGGTCTAAGGATGCATAAATATTCAATGAGCCCTCTCAGTAAACACTGTGGGCAGCAGAAAATGCACAGAGCAAATATTTTTATATTGCTCTGGTTTTGGAAATTATTTCTGAAATGTTCCTGCTAGTGCTGGACTTTCTTCCCCTGAACACAAAGTGTACCGATGGTCACGTAACAGATTGCTAAAGTGAATTATGAAATGGCATTTGCACTCCTTGGCCATGCCAGTGAGTGTAATTTAAATAAATCTATTCATGAAGGCCTAATTAGCAGGGACTGGGCAATTTGCAGCCGGGTAGGGAAGGCTCTGCCAATCACAGGAATCGGCAGAGTGCCGCTGAAGTGCTGGAGAGTTAAAATCACTTGGAGCTTTCAGGGATCAAGCACTAGATCAGAAAAACACTGAATTAACACTGCTGTTCTCCCGCGGGGGCTGGAGAGTGGAGCTGGTTCTGTGTGGCACATAGATTTTAAAAAACCTCTTCTGGCCTTTCTCTCACCTCTGTTTTCCCAGTTGTCAAAGGGAGATAACGATGCTGATTTCTTTTTGAGACCACTTTGAGGTCAGCTGAGGAGGAAAGGTTGACTAAAGCGGGATACAAGTTGAATAACATTTGTTTTTGCAGATGCCCTCCAGTGTTTGTGTTGAAAATTCCTGACTGGGAAAATCAGCTGGCTTTGTAAATCAGTGGGATAAAGGCAGGTTAGACATTTGCTGGTTATAAGCACCAAAAAAAGGTGTTATTTGTTTGCAGTAACCACAGAAGTGTCCCGGGCTGTCCCTGAGGTGCCATGTGCTGTGTGAACGGCAGAATTCTCCGTGTCACCTGAGACAGGTACGCCCATCAAACGAGTCCTTGGCTCAGTATCTGCAAGCAGAAACTCAGCATCTAATCAGACATCTCAGAGGGAAAGAACCCGGCCTCACTTTGTCCCCTGTCTTTGTGCATCCTGTCACGATGGCCCTGATAACGTCTTCCCAGCAGCAGCTATCCTGGGAAAGTAAAAAGCAGCTTTTTTTTTTCCTCCCCTAAATGTACATTGAAAATAGGAATGGAAATAGCTCACAAAGCAAAGTCTCCTGGTGATTATGGGGAGCCAGGAGAGGCACAACAGCACCCTTGTTCTGGTGGCTTTGAAACGGAACAAAGGGCTGGAGGGGACATGGCAGGGTCGGGTTTCACCTGTCCTTTATGCAGGTGGGAGAAAAGCAGCTCCACCTGGACAAAACCCGCTGGAAGTGGGGACCTGCCCATGCTCAAGGTGCCAGTGGGTTCTGCAAGGCTCCGCTGCAGCAGGTGTCCCACCAAAACCTCGCTGAGATACTGGACCAGCTCAGCTCCTGTGAGCCCCCGGGCTCTGGTGCTGATTTCTCACCTTCTGCACCAGCGGACACCCCCCAGGTCTCATTTCTGGGATTTTTTTCCTGTTTTGCATTGTTGTCATGGCTGTAAGAATGAGGCTTGTACCTTTGCCACTGTCCAGGTTCTTGGTCCCATTAGGATCCCATCACCAGGCTCATTACCTTCTGCTTGTTCATTAGCTTGAGATAATGAAAACAACAGAACCGACATGAAAAAATGCCATGTTCCCTTTGGTGGAGACAGCAAACCTACGAAACAAAATTACATCCATGGATCATACTGTATAAGAGAAAAAAAAGGAAAAAAACCATCCAGCCTGTCAGTTCCCTGGCATCCTGTTTGTCAGCAGCACAGGATAATTATTGTGGATTTTTGTGATACAATAAATATGAGAGCACAGGTGGGATCCATTTTCAGTTGTTTAATTGAAGAAATAAAAGGTCTTGTAATACAGTGTGAACACACAGAATTTGTCTGGCTACGCTGAAAACTTCCAATAGCTGAGACCTTGGGGTCATAAAATTACTCATCGGGAGTAAAGTTTTTTATGATGCAGAAGTGAAGGGTATTGATTTTATAAAATATAATTTTATATTCAATATAAATGGAGAAAATAGCTCAAGCCAGCCTTCTGGAGAGCCTGAAAATATAGGACTATTGGGTGAGAATCAATACAAATACTATCTTTAAACCAGAAATTTTGATTAATTTATAAAATACGGGCTGCAACTTTTTTTCCAACATTAAAAAAAAGAAAGGAGGTAGGGAATAAAATATATATAGCCAACGTAAAAAATAAAAAGGAAGTAGGGAATGTAGGGAAGTAGGTTTCTCCAGAGATTTCTGCAACTTGCTTTGTCTTGCTGGTGCGTTGTGTTGTTTATATTTGTAGAATGAACCTGAATTTCAATTCCTGAGCTGGTAAATCACAAAATCACAGGATTATTTGGGTTGGGAGGGACCTTAAAACCCATCCGGTACCATGGGCAGGGACCCTTCCATTAGGGCAGGGTGCTCCAGCCTGGCCTTGGGGGCTCTGGGCGCCTGTGCCCTGCCTGCCCGCCCTGCCAGGGAGCAATTCCAGCCCAAATCCCGTCTGACCCTGCCGCCATCCCCTCAGAGCCAGGGGCTCCAGGCTGCAGGGATCCCGCTGAAGGAGCTGCCATGGGGAACGTCTCCCCTCAGCCCTGAGGGAGGAGGGGGCACCGAGCCCTTTCCCGCCACTGCGCCGGCGCCATCTTGTCCCCCTCAGGAACTGAGGGACCGGGGCGGCGCCTGAGGGGCTGAAGGGTCCGTGAGGGGCTAAAGAATCCATGAGGGGCTGAAGGGTCCGTGAGAGGCTAAAGAATCCATGAGGGGCTGAAGGGTCCGTGAGGGGTTAAAGAATCCATGAGGGGCTGAAGGGTCCGTGAGGGGCTAAAGAATCCATGAGGGGCTGAAGGGTCCGTGAGGGGTTAAAGAATCCATGAGGGGCACCTGAGGGGCTGAAGGGTCCATGAGGGGTTAAAGAATCCATGAGGGGTACCTGAGGGGCTGAAGGGTCCATGAGGGGTTAAAGAATCCATGAGGGGTACCTGAGGGGCTGAAGGGTCAGTGAGGGGCACCTGAAGAGTCCAGGGAGAGGTTAAAGGGTCAATGAGGGGCTAAAGAGTCCATGAGTGGCACCTGAGGGTTAAAGGGTCAGTGAGGGGCACCTGAGGGGCTGAAGAGTCCAGGGGGTGGTTGAAGAGTCAGTGAGGGGCTAAAGAGTCCATGAGGGGCACCTGAGGGGCTGAAGAGTCCAGGGCGAGGCTGAAGGGTCAATGAGGGGCACCTGAAGAGCTGAAGGGTCTAGGGAGAGGTTAAAGGGTCAGTGAGGGGCTGAAGAGTCCATGAGGGGCACCTGAGGGGAATGGTGGGTGTGTGAGGAGGGCTGAGGGGTCCGTGATGGGTTGAGGGGTCCCTGAGTGGGGCAGCGCTGCTCCAGCTCTCGTAACTCAGAGCATTTAAAATCCTAAATGGCTGTTTTCATCTTCCTCTGATACAGGTGTTCCGGCGCTGGTTCCTTTGGGACAACCCAGCTGGTGTGAGGTACAGCAGGTAACAATATTTAACTTCTTCTGAGGTGAGAACATTACCCTGCCTTGGAGGGATGCTGAGGTAATTTTCCTACAGAAGGAAACATCAATTCTTCCATCTAATGGGATGGAAACAGGTTTGAGGGCCCCATAGTTCAGTGGTTTCTAAGGCAAATTTGGGCTGTCTCTCTCTGAGAGTGTAGTTTGAAATGCTCTTTGAGAGAAATCATTTGGTTCTCAGATAACTGCTTATTTTTCTTTAAAATGTAGGCTTATTTGTTCTCTAGTTCAACAGATCTTTACCCTCATGCCTGATGAAATGGTTAACAGTACTCACATGAGGTTCCAGGTATAAAGACTGTGAAAGCCATTCAGGATTTTATCCTAAAGATTGAACAGGCATCCTCTGAAAAATGTCTCCCATTAAAGGTTATTAAGATTTGGACAATGCCATGGTTCCTTTTACAACAGAAAATAGAATCTGACAACTATTTGTTAAGTATCTAAATGTCTCTGAGGGACCCATGAGATAATAAAAGGCATTCAGAAGGTTGAGAAAAGCACCCATGGCCCTACTTCATCATCTCTAGAGAGAACCTGGGTGCTCCCAGGGCTGGGCAGTAAATGCCACGTTGGCAGCCTGAAAAGAACTGGTTTTCACAAATTTTATTTTAATAAATTCCCAGCTTTTCTATTTTGAGGAAGGAATAAACTTACATTTTAAAGTAGTTTAATCTTTAGTCCAAAACCTCAATTAAAGGTGCTTTGCAACCCAACACTTCTCTTTCCTCACATATAAATTGCCTTTTAAATATGAGCTGCCTCATTAAATTCAGTTGGCCTTCCCAGAGAGAAGGAGGGTAAATATTTTTCAGAGCCTGGTGCTAATGGAGTCATTTAATGATGAATAATAAATAAAAATTACAGGCCTTTATTTGAGAAGCTTAGGTAGAGCTGTCACAGTAAAATTCATAACTTCCATCGCCAAATACAAACAATAAAGAATTGTCTACTTCAGATGGCTTGAAATGCCTCTTATTGAAAACAGATGCTATTAGGTCAAAACATTTATGTTAAAAAATAACTTGTTATTCTCACTGTGAATGGTCTTAAGTGATTTGTTTGGATTTTTACAAAATCTAAGTCAGTTTCCTCCAGTTTCAGATAAAGAATGGCTCATTCTCGTTCAGCACGGGACTTTGTTGCACTTTCAGATCTGCATCCAAACCTTGCTCGTCCTGTAAGTCTCACAGCCGTGGCCCTTTTGTTGGAAATTGAAATTGTATCTGACTGTCTTATGTTACTGCAAAATTATGTAATTGATGTGTATTTAGGCACTGATAGCATTAGTGCAATTGTTGGGTGGAAAGGGCCTTCCCTTCTTTGTGTGCAAAGCAGCAAAATGAAAATGGATGCTGTTGTTGTCCCCAGCCTGTGGGTACCACAGGCACAGATATTTACTGGACAATTCCGTGTATCAGAGGCCCCTTTGTAGCACTTTAAATGGATGCTGAATTAGTGAAGACATTATTCAAGACATTACAGAGTCAGCATTATGCACCACAATCATCTGTGACCTCAGCAGCCTCCCGTGGCACCCTAGGGAGGCAGGGTGAAAATCTCACAGCTCCATGGCAGGGTTGGTTCTGGGTTTTTTTTGGGATGAAAAATGGGTTTGCATAGGATCACAGATTGCTTTGGGTTGGAAGGGAGCTTAAAGCCCACCCAGTGCCACCCCTGCCATGGGTAGGGACAACTTCCACCATCACAGGGTGCTCCAAGCCCTGTCCAAGCTGGGCCATGGACACTTCCAGGGATCCAGGGGTATCTCTGGGAATCTGTGCCAGGGCCTGCCCACCGTCCCAGGGAAAGATTTCTCGCATTCACTCTCATTGTCCCTTGTCCTGTCACTCCATCCCTTGTAAAAACCTCTCTCCGTGTTCCTTGTCAGCTCCTTCAGCCTCTGGAAGGCCACAATTAGGTGACCCCAAAGCTTCTCTTTTCCAGGATAAGCAATCCCAATCCTTTCAGCCTTTCCAGTCATCCTGGAGCCTCTTCTGCACTCACCCCAACAGCTCCACGTCCTCCCTGTGCTGGGACCCCAGGGCTGGAGGCAGCTCTGCAGGTGGGGGTCTCACCTGAGCAGAGGCAGAATCCCCCCTCCCCTGCCCCAGGGAAGTTCCTGAAAAGAGTGGGAACATGGAGTTTTCCCATTGCTACTGCTTTTTTTTGGGGGATGGCACAACTGATTTTCTCATTTACTTTAAACAAATGAAAGAGGAATCACAGAAAAGAGATGATGTAAGAGAAGTTTTCTATCCCCTTTGAGCCATATTGATCCAAACTGATCTTCAGCAATTGACAGTTCCTCCCAAATAATGATCCACTAACCCAGTTAAAAGCTTTTGTTTTACAAATAAAAGCTTTTATTTTACAAACAAATCTTGAGTACTGCTGTTAGCAACACACGGCAATGAAAGTATTTTTATAAAATAATAATTTATGATGGAATGATCAGTGTGTGTTGTGTTTGGACGTTGAAACAGCTGAACACACAGTTTGAAGTACCAAAATGGCATGGTTTATGAGTTTGCTGTTTATTTTAAAAAGTGAAAGAGATTCAAGTGTAAACACTTGCAGCGTGTTCATGAGTTGGTTGAGCAGCCTCAAGCAGTGCTCGGCCAAAACAGGCGCCATGGGGGGCGTTCCCCTCCTCTTCTGGGGAAATGAGTGCTTGGGCACTCGCACAGTGAGCTGATCGAGGAAATGATCCTGGAAGTTTTTCTCCCTTCCTCAGTCCAAAACAGTTCCCAGCCAGATCAATTCCTTCTGCCAGCTCCCCATGCAAGCTCGGTGTTGGAGACACAGAGGTGAACACATTTACAGCAGGACCAGGGCAGATTTCTTTGTGAAATTGGATGTTTGCACCAGAAATTCGGCACAATCAGCCTAATTTCTGCAGGCGCTCATCCTAAATGTCAGTTCTTTTGACATTTGGTGGTGAGATACAAGGAATGTTGTTTCTGATTCAATATATATTTTTTTTTAAATTAAGAAACAATACCCTAAATAGAAAATCAGAATCACTGAATGCAGTGGACATAAAGCATTCAGTCTGGAAGGGGGATATTACAGTGCTGTACACAAGTGGCCTCTTCCCGAGTGTTTCCATCCCTGCAGGATAGGGCAGGTCCTGTGCTCCCTCTAGTGATCCCAAGGAAATCGGAGAGCTGATTTCCGAGTGTCAATGTCGCTGCAGTGAAGTCAGGCAGGTCACTGCTTTGTGGATATGTACAAAACGAATCCTGGCTGGGGTATTGAACTGTAGTGCTGCCCTTCCCAGCTGCCTCTGGAATTCTGCTGGAATGGGACACTCAGGGCTGCCAGAAGGGCTCGTGTGAAGGAGCTGTGGCTGCCACATCCCTGGGAGTGTCCCAGGCCAGGCTGGACAGGGCTTGGAGCCCCCTGGGACGGTGGAAGGTGTCCCTGCCATGGCAGGGGTGCCACTGGATGAGCTTTAATTCCTCCAACCCAAACCATGCCAGGATTCTGTGAAGTGGAATTGATGCAGGATGCTTTGTGTTTTGAAGGATCCTGGCAGTATTGCACACTCAGTCTGTTCTTCCAGCCCTTGTCTCACTCTGACTTTCCTTGCTGACCTTTTAAATCCCAAACAAGCACTTCAAAACTCTTCTCTGACACCAAGGACCACCTAAAAACCAAGAACAACTCACCACACAGCTGTTATGTTCTATTATAGATAGACACATTATATATCTATATCTACATGTGTGTGTTTGCTCCCAGTAGTTGTGTTTGACAATTGAGAACAGGATGTTTTTACATAATAGCCACAGGTTTAGCAAAGCAGAATAAAACTGATTTTGGTCTGAATCAACAGAAAAGCTCCTTGCCTCAGCTCCCTTGGAGTCAGTTGAAAGGCAGCAAGAGAGAGGCACCTGTAGAAATTTAGGTTGTTTGGCTGAGGCCAGGACAAGTTCCTGTGGCTGCACACGTGTGACTCGTGGTGCTGACAACCAGGAAAGCCTTGGACACTTCACTGTAAAACAAATCCTGTCCAGAATTTCCATGGAGCCTTTGAGGAGATCTGAGACCTATGCAGAGAGCATGAAACAACAACACTGCTGCCTACCTGAGGAGAGATTGCTGTAGAACAGCCAAAATTGTGAAGGTTTGGGGTGAACTTTTGTCCTCCCATTTTGTTCACGAACAGAAACAGATGGATTTATTTTAATATTTTTATTAGTCACAATTTTTTCCCCTAAAGTAAACTTGTGTGTTTATGTTTTACTCTTTAGCTCATACGGTACTGTGGAATAAATAGATTAAAATGATTGCCAGCCAGAAATATGTTTATTATCATCAGCAGAGTATAATTCCATGAAATCTAATTCATCATCTACATCTGGGTTTAATACTTGTACTCTATAATCTTTTTATTTTTCAGAATGTAATCGGGGTGGTTATTGGGAAAACAGATGTCAGAAGCTTTCCAGACCGAAAAAGTACAGTTCCTTTAAACTCTTTTTCTTCATTTTCTTCAACGGTGTAATTTGGCAGAGATGACTGAAATCAAGATTTAAATGATAAACAGATTTCTCAGTGTAAAATGGATAGAATAAAAATGCACCCCTAAAAGTTGTGTCTGAGAACCAAGATGAAAGAGCAGCATTGGTTTGGCTAAGCCATATCAATTAGAAATTGGAAAAACTCTGTCATGGAAGCATTTAATGCTCTGAAGATGGAACCAATATGAACCCACTCTTCCATAAATACTGCTGGAAGGAGCTGGTGCCTTCATATTTGTTCTCTCTTAAAACAGAGCTGTTGAGGACACATCTTGTGGAGTGACACAAGTAATTTCTGGCGTGAGTAGCAACAGCTTCATCTGGGACAAAATGGGGATTGTATGTTGTTAATAATGTTAATTGGAAATTGAAATAGCAAATTTTCAGTCGGGGTTGGTGCAGACACTGTCAGAAGCACCTCCAGCCCTGGAGAGCCACGCCAGCTCCAGGAGAAGGGCTCAGCTGTTCTGCTGCTGCTGGAGGGGTGAGATTTTAGGGGAAAGTCATCATTGTCACCTGAAACTGGTGGCACCCCAGAGCAGAGTCTGCAGACAGGGTGTTTGGTGTGTGTGCTCCATGGACCTGCACTCAGGGGACTCTGGGGGATCACTTGAGTTTTCCTTGCTAATTTATCAACCCGTTGCATCGTGCTGTGATCCCTGGAAAAGCTTTGCCAGTTAGCTGTATGAGACAGGGCAGGGATGCAGACACCAATATCCTGAATTTTCCACAGCCCTGCAAACACTTGGCCTTATTCAATTCAACCCTGCAGCCTGGGCCATCAGTCAGCCCAGCTCCTGACACAACAGGGGCTGTGTGTACAAATGAGCCCCGCTTGTGTGTTTGCCAGCCCTGGCTGTCACCTCCCGCAGCTCCTGTGCCTCTCCCTGCTTCATCTGCAAGTTTACACCTGCAAGGTGCACAGGTACAACTCCAGCAGGAATTGCAGCTCATTCCCAAACACCACCGTGTTCCTGCACCACCTGCTGGCCTCTAGTGGGAGGAAATTCCCGTCAAAATCCAGGAAAACCAAAAACTAGTAAATAGTAAATCCAAAATAGTAGTTTTTATACGCATATTCTAGTAGCAATTAAGTTGTGCTGAGGAATTGCTGCAGGCCTGTTTATTTTTGCAGACATTGGCACTGAGAGATACACCTTCGGTTTTACCATTCGTGACTCCCCAACTTACTTCATTAATGTCCAGTCCTGGGGCAGAGAAGAGTACATCAGATCCCTCTCAGAAAGCTTCAGAGTTGGTGACTGTGGTGAGTTTGTTTATTTTATTTATTCCCACCACGTTTCTGTTTGCATGGAAATCCGGGTTCTGCTGGGGGCTTTGCTGTGTTTTGCTCTGAAGACTCACAAACAGCCTAATTGGAAACAAATTGTTCAGTTCTGTTCAATAGAAAGAGGAAAGGAACAAGATTCCAAGGATTTCAATTCAAGCCCAGTAAATATGTCAACAAAAGAAACCCACTGAGTGCAGCAGCTCAGAGCTGGCCTGCAGTTAATCAATGTCAAATCTCACATTATATTGAGGTCTTAAACATGATGGAAAATAAGCTGTAAAGCAGTTTGCTGTTTGTCTTCCCTCAGTTATAGATATGGCTATGATTGCTGATAAAACCACAGCAAAAATCTTGTATTTATTTACAGGATGTGCTTTTATCTTTTTAAGTTCATAGAAAGCTTTTGCTACCTGTGGTTGTTTGGGTAAAACTTGTGAGCTTACAGAGTGTACACACAAAAATATCTATATTTGTACCTATAATCAATTTCTAACATTACTTATCAATGCTTTATTTTAGTTACAATTGAAAATCCTTTAATTCAGTCAAAGGAAGCAGAAAGAGAAGAAAAATTCAACCCTGTAACTCCTAGGTAAATTTAAAGCATGGAGTGGTAGTTCTTTCTACAAAGATCAAAGTTAAGACTTGCTTCAATTTCCAGCCACATGAAATTGGTAGAAATATTTTGTGTTTTATTCTTGCATAGCTATACCTTCCTCCTGTGCTCAACAATGTCTGGTCAAATCTCAAAGGAGAGTATATTTAATAAATAGAAAGTCATAAAGCAATAATGCTCTTTGTTACTAAACAGAGTAAATTTCATTCTTTGAGTAAAGAATTTTTTGTACCTTTAGGAAAAACTATAAGGGAATAAAGTTACTTTTTCATATGAATGAACATTTGACACTGTTGATACCTCAGCGAGTGCAGTGCTGATCCATGGGATTTGTTCTGTTCTAGTGCCTACAAATTATTGCTCAGTGAAAATCACTCTGTGGTTAAAACCTCTTCCTGCTACGACACAGACACCAGGCTCCTGGCTCTGCTGCACCTGCCTGTCAAGGACCCTCAGGATTATTATTCCCTGGGGGACATCGTGGCAAATGGACAAAGCCTCCATGGGAGAGTCCTCAATGTGCTGGCAGCTGTGAAGGCAGTGAGTGAGGAGCATTGCTGTTCTCTGCCACGAGTAACTTCATTGGAAATCTGTAAATGTGGAATTTGGGCTGTGATGGCAGTGAGTGAGGAGCATTTCTGTGCTCTGCCACGAGTAACTTCATTGGAAATCTGTAAATGTGGATTTTGGGCTGTGATGGCAGTGAGTGAGGAGCATTTCTGTGCTCTGCCACGAGTAACTTCATTAGAAATCTGTAAATGTGGATTTTGGGCTGTGATGGCAGTGAGTGAGGAGCATTTCCATGTTCTGCCATGAGTAACTTCATTGGAAATCTGTAAATGTGGAATTTGGGCTGTGATGGCAGTGAGTGAGGAGCATTTCCATGCTCTGTCACGAGTAACTTCATTGGAAATCTGTGTAAATGTGGATTTTGAGCCTCACAGTGGCCAGGACTCCATTTGTTCAGCTTGGCAGCTGAGTGATAATAACCACACACACCCTTTGATGAGATTTTTATCAACAAAATGAAGAGAAAATTAAGTGATCCCATTTTTAGCAGTCTACAGTCTTTCTTCCCTTTTCTAACCTTTTTGTTTTCAATTTATTCTTCTAAACACTGAATAGAGGACAAATTAATTTTTCTTTTCCTTCTTAAAGGTTGGGGAGCCAAAGTATTTTATGACTTCAGACAAAAGGAAAGGCCAGAGGTGTGAAGTAAAGCTGTATGATGAAACAGAGAGGTCTTTCCCAATAGTATGGTAAAATGTTCTTTAATTCACTAAATGTTCTTTAATTCTTAAGAAATAATGCAAACATGGGTAAATAAATTAACACACACTAATTAACCATAAACCCATCTTTTAATTTAAATATATTGTTATTTAGGAGGCAACTGAGATGAGGCAGCAATGTACACTGAAAAGACTAACAAAAGAGATTCATTAGAGTGGCCTTATATATCTTGTATAGTTTTATGGCTTGCTGACAGCCTGCTGGCTCATGGATGGCAAAATGAAGCTCAGTTCCAAATAATTCCTTTTTTAAAATGTGGACATTTGAGCTAATTCAGGAAATGACTTTTAAATCCAAATGCAAAAGCATTTAAATCTAAATGCAAAAGCTGTTGTGTCTCTTCCACAAGCAGGGGGGCAGGAAAATGAAGAGCATCATCCATTTTTAAAGCCAAACAGAACTGCAAGTGGAGTGGAAATAGGTTGAAATAATTAAAAAGTATTTAAAACAATGCAGAAACATTTTGATACAACCTTGGCTGTATTTTCAAACTCTGTCCTGTGTACAAACACAACTCCACCCAGCCCATCCCTGCTGTAAGCAGTGCCCTGTTCACAGAGGAACCTTTGCATTTTGCCCAGAGCTTGTTCAATAAACCTGTGGCTTTTCCAGGTGCAGGGGCATGTGGGGGTGTGGGTATTCCCTTGCCCTGGGGGTTAAAAAGTGACTTCAGTGCCCTTTGTTCCCTCGGGGGAAGCAGCCAGCCAGCCCTGCACTGTGGGCTGGCAGCTGTGTTAGCACCAGGGATGTTTATCATGGGATGTTTGACACAATTCATCCCCACAAAGCCAAAAGAAGCATCTTTGTGCCCAATCCTTCCAGGCCAGGGTTGATTTGGAGCAGCTCCTCCATCAGCTCTCTCAGTGCTGGGACTTGGGCACTGTCAGGGGATTTCAGAGCCCAGCAGTGAAGAGGTGGCTGGGCAATATCAGATGAAAAGGAAATCTCTTAAATCTTTTTCCAAGGATTAAGGAGGAAACCCACCAGAACAAATCTGTGCTTTGGCTGTGCTCTTGCCGGCCAAATTTAGGAGGAGCTGAATGAGATTTTATCAAGAGACCATGAAATTACCATTTTTGAGGGATGTTTCTGACCTCACTCCAGTCTCATCATCCCCGGCCACAAAGCTCCCAGTGTTGGAAGTGGCTGAACATCTGGCCTGGGGATCTGAGCAATCAGCCTGGCCCAGCACAAACAGCTGCTTCAACTGGGCTTTGCTGCAGCTAGAAATGACTTGGGTAAAAGCTGAAATACAGCATTTCCCCAGGTATATTCTGCATTTAAACCCAGCTTCATTTTATCCTGTTTGGAATAAAGCAGGCACATGGAATTTCAGTGCCACATGTGTCGCAAAGGAGTCGTGTCCCCTTTGGCCAATTTTATTACAACTACATTATTTAGTACTTTAGTACTAAACACTTTGAGTGCTGCTTCAGAAATGTTTTGATACATCCACTTTTTTTTTTATTTAGCTGGGATAATGAATCCATCCAGCTGGCACAGAGTTGGATTCCCCAAGAAACAGGTAAAACAGTCTGGTTCATAGTTTTATGGAAGTTCTTCATGTGGCATTTACTCTCCAGTAACATGGGGGTGTTTTTCTGCACAGTTATATTTGCATCGGATGTGAGAATCAATTTTGACAAATTTAGGAACTGCATGACTGCAACTGTGATATCCAAAACCATCATTACAACTAACCCAGGTAAGAGCTGCTCAAGTATTTATTTTCTTTTAGTAATTATTGTAGGCTAGAATGCATTAATTAATCTATTGGAACTGTGATTTCTTCTGCCCGCTTCTCACAAAGCTCCCTGCTTTTTGTCTGCTATGTGATGACCAGTGCCTTTGGCCAGTGGCTTATTTTATATTTTATATTATATATTTATTATTTTATTTTTTTTTATTTTTTAATATTTAATTTTCTTTTTAGCAGCTTTCATATGTTCACTCCATGCAGGACTAAAAGTTAAAATAAAAAATAGAGAAGCAAATCATGACTAATTCCAACGCGCTTGTGCTACCAGAATAAAAACTTGTGAAATATAAAAAATGCTGTGAATTTTACGTGCAATATATACTGATAACTTTTAAAAATGCACCTTCAGAAACAGCAGAAGCAAATGTTCTGTTCAGTTTCATCAAAGAGAGTGCCCAGGCAGGAGCTCTGCCCAGCCCGGTGAAGGAGCTGCCAAATGAAACCATTAACTGTAAGCAATGGATTTTATTTACCTGTTAAATACCTTTATTATTTTATAAATATTTTATTTATTTTAAATACCTTTATTACTTTATTTACCTATTAAATATTATATATATTCCTGATCTGAGTCCCCCTTTGTTTTACCTTTTGTTTTTGTAGGTGGGCTTTGCTGCTGCTTTAAATCTCCTTTTTATTGCTTTAAGATCCACTTTTACCGTGGCTCTTTGAATAATTTCTGGCTCAGACACACTTAACTTATCTTTTAAACTTCTAGTGGAGGCTGTAGTGGATGTCTACACAGTGGAACAGCTGAAAGAAAAAGCTCTCCAGAGTGATGGGAAGCTGCAGCCTCTCCATGGAATTATTTATGGCTACATTTCCACCCTGGACATCGACGAGAACGTGTCCAGAGTCCTGCGCAACAGATGGTGAGCAACTCCCAGCTCAGAATGTGTGCCCAAAACTGCTTGTCCCTCTTCCCCCGGCCCAAATTGAGAGCAAAAGGGTTTTAAAATCATGGGCATTTAGGGTTAGAAGGAAAATTAAGCTTAGTAGGCCCTGAAAAAATACCCTGGGTACATGTAGGCCTTGTACCTTGCTAGAACTGCACCTGTGTAGGTAGTACATGATAAATTATGTAATTGTTAGATGTGATGATTGTTTAGTAATTAAATATAATTACTGTTTAATCATAAGAATAATCATGAGAAACTGTGGTCAGGGGCCTAGGAAAGATCACAAGAAACTCATGCTTGAATAAAGTCAATGTATACAATAGAACAATATAAGTTTAATAATGAATATGTAAGTTATATAACGATAGAATATAAAATAAGTTCAGCTCGAAAGTTGTGTCGGAGTCAGATTTGGGTCTGTACCCTGATTCTCAGAGCTCTCAATAAAAGCACCTGCAGATCATCATATCCCATGATTATGTGTGTTCCTGAATGCTAACAAAATGAGATGGAGCAATATTTTAGTCCTGTCCCAGAGAAGAAAATAAAACTCCTCTGGAGGATGCCATGTGGGTTTCTGGTGTGGGGTTTTGTTGTGGGCTCTTTGTGGTCCTAGAGTGAAAAAGAAAAAGGTTCCTTTGTCTCAGACAGACTCAAGAGTTTAGGAGATTAACATTTTTTTTAAAGATGAAGTCTCCTGGGACAGCTCAGTCTAGAAAAAAGTTTCAGAAAGAATAAATTGCATATCTGCATGAATTCTCTCCTTGTGTTGTAGCTCAGTCTGCAAGTTCATTGTGAATGAAGCGTCCAACACCTGCACCTTCTGCAGTGACATCTCTCCAGAGGCCAAGTCCACCTTTTCCAGCTTTGACATCCTGGTGGATGTGACAGACCACACAGGCACCCTGCACTCCTGCTACCTGTCTGACACTGTCGCTGAGGAAACCCTGGGCTGCACAGTAAGGGGGGCTTGGGCTGCTCCTGCTGAGCTCAGCTCTGGAGCCTGGTGGGAATTACAAACATCTGTAATGCTCCCTGTGTGTGAGAGTTACAAAAATGGCATGGAGGGATGCACACACAGAGCTGTTTGACAAGGAAGTCAGCAGATGCCAACAGGAATTGTGTTCAGGGGGAGAGTTAACCAAGTTCAGAACACTGCTTTTCTGAGAACGTGGCTGGAGATCCCTAACTCTGATTTTCAAACACCCTGCAGTTTATCTGGTTAATGGGACTGCCTTGGCACACATCTCATACCAAGCACAACGTTAAAATAGAAAAATACAGCTTAGAAATGTATAAAAAATATCTAAGATATTCTTTTCATCATCATTCTCTTGTGGAGATGTTTTAACTACCTGCTGAAGTGTTCTGTGGTGTCCTGTTAACAGGTCCATGAATTCCTCATGCTGGAAGAAAACCAGAAGACTGCACTGAAATGGCAACTCCTCTTGGAACGAAGCAAGATTTACTTCAAAGTTAGTATTTAATGTTTTGAATTAAACAGCAGCTACTTTTTACTTTTAAACTTGTCCGTTTGGGCAGAACTCTTCTTACTCTCCCATCTCCCCTTTCTCTGTCCTTATTTCCAGGACAAAATGAAAGTATTTGGCTTCAGCAGTAACAGGCATATGGCAAAAATGTGTACTCACACAGGAAATAATGCAAATAAATCTGTCAAACATGCAGTGTAACAGCTGAAAATAATCTCTGTCAAGGTGCTGTGATAACAAAGATCCTTAATTATTTTTCCAGGTTACTTCATCACCCAATTGGAGAACTGGATTAAAAGTGAATCTTCTTTCCTGCAAACTGGCAGATCCCATAGAGGCGAGTCAGAGCTTGTTGGGAAGAGACTGGAATTATTAATACATGCTAGGAAAGGCTTCCTTCACTCTGTTGTTAGAGATGCAATTCTGCTGCTGTTGGGTTTTGACAAGTCTGTTCTGATGGTAAAGGAGGAGTGCATGTTGCAATACCTCTAAGTGGGCTTCTGAGTTCATATTTTTGGGTGATTGTACTTTAAAAAGTGTACTTGGGCCTCAGCTTAAATGTTAATTCTACCAAATTCAACCCCTTTCAAGATTTCCTCACTCAGCTGAGATATTTGGAAAAATCAGAAATAACAAATAGGTTAAAAGAGATCTGTTGAACTACTGTGGTTTTTACTGCTTTGCTGCTTTTGTGTTAAAGAATAAAGACCCCCCCTTGAAACACTGCCTGGGTTTGTGGTGCACCTTGCTGAGGCCAAACGTGGAGCTGTGGCTGATTTTTTTGGGCAGACTAAATCTAATTAGAGTAGAGTAATCAATTAGCAGTGACCTCTGACAAGCAAAAATCAAGCTGAGGCTGTAAGCAGGACTCTGTTCACCAAAGCTGGATTTAAAGGTACGTATATTGTGGCTTCCTCCACGTATTTTTTCCCCTATTTTTAATATATTCCTGTCCACAGCTTCCCCTCCTGCTGGTGTATTTGTCACATCCTCACCTCCTGAGCACGTTTCCAACAGAGGGAGATGCCCCAGCCCTGCTCTGGCAAAGGGTTTTAGGCCAGGACACCCCAGGGAACTCTGATCCCCCTGGTGCCCTCCCTACCCCTTAAAGTTCCACCGTGGGCACAGAGAAAACCCCCACAGAAAGAGGAAATCCTGACAAGCAATCCCAGATTGCATCCCTGACTCGTGGGTGGCAATAAAGACCCCAAAAATGCAGCCAGCGTTGGGTCACAGCATCCCTCCCGTAGCAATAAATGATTCAACATTTCCCAGCCACAACAATTCCCATTCTGCAGGGAATATTTCCAATAATTTCCTCCCAACTCTGGCAATACCCAGGGCTGGAGACCAAACTGCAAATGATGCCCTGCTGCTGTTGCCAGAGATGGGAATGTTTGACAGGCAGGAGGAAATGCAAACAGTACAGACAATTCCATCCTTCCCCTTCCAGAACTGCTCACCCTAAAGTCTACTTTAATTCTGAAGAAATCCTAAAGAAATTCTTCAATTTCTTCTCCCAGTGTGGTGTGCAGCACCCTGGACTGTGCTGCTCTCACAGAGCTGCTTCTCTTTGTGAAACAGGAATTTTCTCTGTAAAACTTTTAAAAACAAAGCTTTTCCTAGCAGTTATGAAGATCTGGCTCTGATAAATGGAAATGTTTAGCTTTGGTGCTTTGCATTTATGTTAAAAAAAAAAAAAAAATCCATCTGCTTTTGTTAGAAATGAGCCAGTTCTGTGCAAGCTTTGAAAAACCAAGTTCTGATGTTTGCATGGGGAGGATTTTTTAAATTCTATTTTACAACTTGCTCTGCTGAATTGGAAGAGAACTCGCTGTCATGCAAACTGGAGGGGGGTGCTGCATCAGCTGCAGCTGGGAACTGGGGAAAGTTACCCAGTGTGGCTTTCAGCAGCTGGAAATACTTAAACCTCCAACTGCTGCACTGCACTGGGTAACAGCAACTGCTGCAGTTACAGTTTTACTGAAAATACATTGAAATCAGTCAAAAGGAAAGTTTGGTGGCGATCTTTATCCATATGGTTCTTTATTCTTGATATTTCTGCATTATTTTACTTTTAGAACATATTGAAATCTCAGTTTAGGAAAAAACAATCTGCCAAACATCTGGCACACTTCCTGCTGCTTTCGCCCCCTGGAGTGGGAGGAAAAGGCATCCTCCTTTAATTTGTATGTTTGAAAACAGCAGGGAGAAATCACAAAACTAATCCAAAAAATCAAACTTCTTTCTCTTGTAGAGAAAAATCTTTGTGATGTGCAACTCTTGATTTAGGGTTGCACATCTACACATAAACCTTTGTTTTTCCACAGCATGGCTGAGCCCTAGCTCCTACATCATCATTTGAATCGTTTTGATCAGTCATTTTTATTTTAAGGCAATACATTGGCAAAACCCACAGCATCAGCAGAAGACAAGCACGCAGAGAAGGACAGCCAGGCCCATTCCCCTCTCCGATGTCTCCGTTGCCAGTTCCCAGGTATGGTTTTGGAATTACATTTTCGATTTAGATTGGAGAAGCTCCAACCTGCTGCAGGCTGCGCTGCGCTCCTGGTGTGCCGGAGCCTGGAAACGCGGTCGTGGCAGTCAAACGCCCTTTGGGCTCCCGGGTTCCGTGCCCTGTGCCACCTTGAACCTGACGGACACCACGTCCCCGATCCCCGCCTCGATCTCATCGCCGGCCTCCACGGCCCCGACTCCTTTGGGAGAGCCCGTGAGAATCAAGTCCCCTTCTTCCAAGGGGAATATGTGGCTGATGTAGCTGATCAGGTAAGGGATGGAGAAGATCATGGCCGAGGTATCCCCCTCCTGCCTCAGCTTCCCGTTCACCTTCAGCCAAATCCGCAGCTTGTGCGGGTCCGGGATCCTCTCCTTGGGCACGAAGTCGCTGACGGGGCAGGACGTTGCGAACCCTTTGGCCAGGGTCCAGGGCAGCCCTCTCCTCTTGCACTCGTCCTGCGTGTCGCGGGCCGTCATGTCCAGGCACAGCGCGTAGCCCGCCACCAGCTGCATGGCCGCGTCCCGCGGCACGGCCCGCGCCCCGCGCCCCAGCACCACGCCCAGCTCCACCTCGTGCTGCAGCGCCCGGCAGTAGCGGGGCCGCACGATCGGCGAGCCCTGCCGCACGTAGGCCGAGGAAGGCTTGAGGAACAGGAGCGGCTCGGCGGGCGGCGCGCTGCCCATCTCCGCGGCGTGCTCCGCGTAGTTGCGCCCCACGCACACGATGTTCCTGCCCCACTCCCAGAAGCGGGACAGCGGCTTGGAGCCGCCGGCCATCGCCGCCCTTGCTGCGTCCTTGCCGCGCCGCCGCCGCTCCTCCTCCGCGGGCGGAGCGGGCGGGCGCGGCGCCGCCCCCGCGCACGCCGGGCCGGGCCGGGCCGGGCCGTGCCGGCGCCGCCGCCGCCTCCCGGGGCGGACTGCCAAGGTAACCGGGCCGGGCGGGCCGCGCGATGCTCCGCGGGGGCTGCCGAGGGCTCGGCGCCGCCCTGGCGGCCGTTCTCCGAGCCGGTACGTGCGGGGCCGTGCGGGGCTCTGCGGCCGGGCCCGGCCCGCGGTGCCTCGCGGCCCGGGCCGGGGCCGAGCCCGGCGCGGAGCCCCGGCAGCGCTCGGGGAGGAGGAGGGGGCCGGGCTGCGCTCGGCGGGTGACAGCTGGTACGGGTGATGGAGCCAACCCGAACTGCCCGACACCGGCGCTGGCATGCCGGGCCTAAAGCCTGGCAGCCGCGCTGGGCTCTGCGGGAAGGCTCCCCAGGTGGTTTGGCATCGCTGCGGTTCCGATGGGGGACAGTGGCCGCGGTTCTGTGCCGCAGCGGCAGTGCCGGCCGCGCCGGTGGCCGCTGCCCCTTCCACGCTGCCCTGGCCTCCGACCCCTTTCCTGCAGCCACGAACTCGCTGGGTGTCCAAAAACCCTGCAGAGTGTGAAGGGTGAACGTGGCTCCTGTGCGGCGTGCAGTCATTCCTGAGCGGCTGCCCTGCTTGAAGCAGGAATTTTCCACTCTTTTATGTAATAAAGTGACTAACCCCAAACGCTCTGGAGGAAGTGCACCGAGCAGCCGGGTTCCCAGGGAGCCTGCCTGCTGTCAGTGCCCCGCTGACATTAACACTTCCAGCTGCAGAGCCTCTCCCCTCGGCCGTTCCAGCTGTGCCCATGAACCATTCCACAAGCCCGGGTGGAATTAAATTTTAGCCTTTCCAGCTGTGCCCATGAACCATTCCACCAAGCCCGGGTGGAATTAAATTTTAGCCTTTCCAGCTG